CAACTTTGGCCATGGGCGGGGGGGGGGGGAGGGAAGGAAGGGGGAAAGGATGGTAAGGGGAAACAAAGGAGGAGGCAACAATGCTTGATAAGAAATGTACTCATTATCTTGCCCATGTAATTATAACCCCTCTGTATGGTATTTTCACAATTAAAAAAAAGAAAGAAAGAAAAGAAAAAGCTGGAATTAGAGCTATGGCTGGAAGTAGAACGTTAGCTTTGAGCAAAAAATCTCTGGTACAGTGCCCAGGCCTGGTGTTCTAGCCTCACAACTAGCACCAGAAAAAAAAAAAAAAAGATTGCGTCAGGGTGACTGAAGGTAGAAAAGAGTGAGTAGTAGGTTCAAGAATAATAGGAAAGTGGGGCTGGGAAGGTGGCTCAATGGTAGAGCGCTTGCATTGCATGCATGAGGCTCTGGGTTTGTTTCCTCAGCACCACATAAGCAAAAAATAAAAAAGCCGGAAGTGGTGCTGTGGCTCAAGTGGTAGAGCACTGGACTTGAGGTGAAGATCTGAGGGACAGTGCCCAGGCCCAGAGTTCAGGCCCCAGGCCCCACGACAGGACCCAAAAAAAAAAAAAAATAGAATAATCGGAAAGGAAGTGAAAAGATCCTAATACTCCCAAGATCTGAGAAACTTCTTAGATATAATAAATTCTTAGCAAATCAGCACAGTACAGTACAAAAATATCATGAAAAATAACTACTTTTCTATATTAATAACATACATGCTGAGAAACAAGGGAAATAATCTTATTTATAATAGTCTCTCCCCCTCCAAAAAAAAAAAGCCGAAAACGTAGGAATTAACCAAATCAAGAAGGTGAAAGACTTCTACAGTGAAAACTATGAAACACTAAAGAAAGAAATTAAAGAAGATAACTAGAAGATGTAAAGGCCCACCATCTTCATGGGTTGACAGAATTATTCATTATTAATATGGAAACAAAAAGACTTCAAGGAAACTGGGTGCTGGTGACTTACACCTATAGTCCTAGCCACTCAGGAGGTTAGCTCTGAGAATAATGGTTCAAAGCCAGACTGGGCAGGAGAGTTCATGAGACTCATATCTCCAGTTAGCTACCAGAAAACCAGAAGTGGCACTATGGCTAAATTGTTTGTGCACTCACATTGAATGAAAACTCAGGGACAGTACCTAGGCCCCTAGTTCAAGCCCCATGACTGACCTCAAGCAATCAAATCAATCACAAGCAAAAAGAACAATGCTGGAGGGATCACAGCTCTAGATTTCAAATTAGAATTCAGAGTTCTGCTAACACAAACAGCTTGGCACTAACACTGACAGGCTCATTGGCAAATGGAAATAAGCTAACACAGCTACAGCCAAGTGATTCCCCACAAAGGTGATTTTTTTTTTGAAAGGCACTGGAAAAAAGCCAACAAACATCTTTGAACAAATAATGCTGGAAAACTGGATATCAGCATTGAGAAGACTCAGTGAAACTAAGTCTTTGTCTTTCATCCTGTGTAAAAATCAGTTCAAAGTGGATTAATTCAAATGTTCCTGAGTTCAAGCCCCATACTGGCACTGGATGGGGGGGGGGAAAGGGGGGCAGAATAAATACCAATAAATACATGAGAAAATGTTCAGTCAGTATCATCAGCCATCAGGGAAATCCAAATCAAAACTACATTGAGATTCTCTCTCATCCTAGTCAAGTTAGCTATCATCTTCCAGTGGTACCAAGCTTAGGACCAAACTGCTATTATAGAACAATGGGCACATTCAAGGTGGTTTGGCTATAGATATGGACCACGTATTTAACACATGGGTCTTTAGGGGCATTTAATTCCCAACCTGCTATACTTTTCTTCAATGTTTAAATCATATTCTTTTCCCCATATTTTATCAAGTAGTTGTACAGAGTGCTTTTGATTCCATAAGTGAGGTCACCCCTTCCATCATTCTCCTATGTTTCCCCACTTCATCTCTACCCTCAAATTCCATAGTTTAAATTTTACATCATGTACATTGACCATAATTTGCTCACCTTTCTTCCCTCCATTCATGTGTCCCACTGCCTAAACTTTTAGGAGTTTCCACAGAAGTGAAACTGCCTACATCAATATTTGCTTAATGATTTAATTACATCTGCAGCTCAGGAACAATGTAGACAGGATTAAGACCTGGTTAGAGTTTTTAGTGTAGTTATCATCTAATTATACGAATTATCATGTAATAATGGAGCTGGAAGATGGTAGTTTATGCCAGTAATCCTAGCTACTCAGGAGGTGAGATCCAGAAAGAAGATCAAAGTCTGAGCCCAGCTTTGGCAGAAAAGTTTGCTAGAATACATCTCCAAGTAACCAGCAAAAAGCAGGACTGAAGGTGTGGCTTGAATGGTAGAGACCAGCTAAGCAAGTGCAAGGCCCTAGTCCAAACCATTTAAAGCTTATATTTAAGGTTGATGGTTGAAGTTTTATAAATTTATGGGAGAAAATAGGATTCTTGCTGATATATTGGTATATACACATATAAATATAAAATCTGTATATAAATATATATATGCACACACATTCCTTTTCTTGTGTCTGTTTCAGTTGCATATCTTTTTTTTTTCTTTTTTGGTACTGAGGAGGAAACCCAGCCTTGCACATACTAGTCAAGTACCTTACCATTAGCTACAGTCCCAGCTCAGCGCATTATATCCTTGACTGGATGTTCATTACTAAGAGAAGTTGTTTGGATACATAGTAATCAATATCTGAGGATTTATAATGACATTATTGAGATACGTGTGTGTGTGTGTGTGTGTGTGTGTGTGTGTGTGTGTGTGTGTGTGTGTGTGTCAGTCATCCTGGGGCTTGACCTCTGGGTTTGGGTCCTCATTTTCATTCAAGGCTGGCACTCTGTTACTTTAGCCCCACCTCCACTTCCAGCTTTTTGCTGGCTAGTTAAAGATAATTAAAGATAAAAGTCTCTTGGGTTTGTGTGCTTGGGCTGGCATCAAACCATGATCCTCAGATCTCAGATTGCTGAGTAGGTAGGATTGCAGGCATGAACCACTGGTGCTGGACTTGAGAGTTAAAATTCTTGAATATTGAAATAGAAGATCTTAATAAAAATTTTTTTTGAAATAATAACTTAATATGTAGCCCAGGCTGGCCTTGAAGTCAAGATTCCCCCTCAGTCTTCTAAGTGCTGGCATTATGGGTACGTGCCACCACACTTGGCTGCAAATAGTATTTATTCAGTCAAAAGAACCTATCCATAGAAATAAAAATACTTTAAAAAACTTGAAATTCCTGGGAGTAGCGGGGAGAGAACTAGGCTGTTTACTATCATGAGAAGACTGTACTAGATTGAAAAGAGTACTTGCTTTACTATTTTACTTCCAAAATTTAGGTAATATACCAATCACAAATTTGTACATTCATAAATTTTAACAATTGTTTTAAATTTTGACATTAATAAATTGATTGTTTTGAGATACCGTGTTTTAGTGATACTTAGAAGACATTTTATCATCTTATATTCGTATTTGATATTTAATTCTTTTATTGAATTTATTGAATTACTAATAGTGTTACTAATTTATAACATCATCCGGTGTGTCATGCCTGATTTGGAATACCTCTATTTAAAATAAAAAGATAGCTAGAACTTGCTCTTAGACAGCATTTCTTTATTTAATATGCTGCTTATGAGTTCAATCAAAATGAGATTCAGGAAAGAATTTAACTAAGAATCTAACATTCAAGGGAAGGATAAAGAGATGATTAGCCAGGAAAATTATTGAAGAATGGTGAATAAGGAAAGATTTGTGTTACCAAATAATTGAATCATATTATAGTACTCTAAGAAATGAAATTATTTTACTATGGGTTTAACAGATTAATCTAGGCCCAGAAATGTTCACATTTATAAGTTGTTGAGAAAAGACTATTCATGATCTCATGTAGACAATTGATTTAAATATTTGGAAAAAACTTAAACATGGAGCTAATATCAATTTCACATGAACTATAAACTTTAGGCAATATGACTATTAACTGACTTTGAAGTAGGAAAAAGTATTTTTAATCCATTAAAGCAAGAAAAATGAAGCCATCTGAGTCTGAAAGCCATGGTCTTCAGCTTCCAGTAGAAGAAATTTAGCTATGGGAGGATACATACAAGGAGTCAAGATTGAAAACAAAGGAACAAACTGTTGATTATTTGTAATGATACTTTTTTTGTAGTTGTAATGTCTTATAATTGAAACATTCAAAACAACCAAATGACAATCTATTAAAATCAGTGATGATGTTAGCCAATGGCTCCATATGGTACTGGGGGTATCTTGGGGGAGAACCTTATAACTCATTTTTTAAAGGGCAGGTGTAGTGGCACACACCATAGTCCCAACACTCAGGAAATTGAACAAGAAAAATTTTGAGACTACCTTGGGCTACATAACTACATAGTAAATAAGAACCTATTTTTTAGAATTATGTAACAGCCAGGCACCAGTGGCTCACACCTGTAATTCTAACTATTCAATAGTCTGAGATCTGAGGATTGTGGTTCAAAGCCAGCCAAAGCAGGAAAGTCTGTGAGACTCTTACTCCCAATTAATTGCCAAAAAAGCTGGATGTAGAACTGTGGCTCGTGGTAGAACACTATCCTTGAGTAAAAAAACTTCAGGGATGGTGCTCAGGCCCTGTGCTCAGTGGCCAGGCCTTAAGTTCAAGCCCCAGGCTGGCACCAAAAAAAAATAAAATAAAGTTATATACTTAAGGTTGTTTTCCTCTTATCAAAATATCTTAATATATGCCTGCAGAGTACAGAAAAAAGAAGATATTTTTCAAAGGTATTTATATTACCTTTTAATATGTTTTGCCTAATATCCATGAGTGTTACATGCTTCTTTTATGAATTATTATTTTTGTAATACTTCAGAGAAACCAGAAATCAAATATCATAAACATTGGCTTATTTCTTAGAATTGATAACTATATTCATTAATTCATCTTTTATTTCTTTTTCCCTTATTCAATAGGTTGCTGCTCCTGTCTTTGTACCAATGAAAACACATGTTCTGCTTCATCGAATGAGTGGAAAAGGACTGGCTGCCCACTATTTCTTTCCGAGACAACCTTCCATTTTTGGTGATAAGATGGTCTCTGTGCAAGTAACACTGAATAATACTTCAGATCGAAAGATAGAAAACATCCACATAGGGGAAAAAAAACTTCCTATAGGCATGCAAATGCATGTCTTTAATCCAATAGGTAAATATCAATTCTTATTTAAAACTTTCATAACCAAATGTTTTTATTTTAATAGTAGATTCTTTTTAGTTAAAAAAGGTAAACAACATTATTTTATTGGCTATTAGCATGCTTAGTTTATAATCGTTTTCCTTTTTTTTCCCCTCATTTGGTGGTTGTGGTTTGGGGGAATCAAACCCAAGTCCTGTTTTCCTTCTTTTGAACTTGCATTTGTTATTTAAGAAAGATATTTCTTTGGACCTGATGAGTTAAGTCCCAGCAATATTAATCCCAGTAATGCTGAAAGGATGAATCAGCAAAATCTAAATTGCTTACCCAGTTCACCTGCCTATATCACTTCTGCCTACTTCTCCTGGTTAGCTTCCTTTTCTGCCTTGATTTTAAGTGGCTACTGTGTATAAAAAGCAGAGGCTGAATGTGAGGCTCAGCTGGCAGAGCACCTGCCTTGCAAGCATAAAGCCCACACAGTTCAAACTCAAGGACAAAAACAGAAAAATAAAATAATAAAAATGAAGTAAGCTAAGACAAAGGGTGGGTCCTATTCTATTTGTCTTCTTCCACATATAAAATATAGAAGAATCCATAGTGAATTTGTCCTCAGTAGGTTTTTTAAATACTTTGAATCACTGCCACCATTTAAATTTTTTTGTTTTAATATTTAAAGAGAAAGAGTTTTATAAATAGCTTTATAAATGGCATAAAATAAGGCACTGAGGCATGGCTGAGCCTTTATCCCTGTGAGCAGCAGCCAGCTAGTGCTGGGCAGCAGCTGCCTCCCATGCAGCACTTGCTTTGCAGCACTGGTGCTCAGGGGACTCTTGGTGGCATCCATCTGCCTCCTTGAAGTTTGTGAGGATTTTGCCAAAACTGTACCTTTCAAAAATTAAATGTAAAGCCGTGCACCGGTGACTCACGCCTGTAATCCTAGCTACTCAGGAGGCTGAGATTTGAGGGTTGTGGTTCAACCTGCCTGGGCAGGAAAGTCCATGAGATCTTATCTTCAATTAATTGCCAGAAAACTGAAGTGGCACTGTGGCTCAAAGTGGAAGAGTGCTATCCTTGAGCTGAAGAGCTGAGGGACAACACCCAAACCCACGACCAACCAAAAAAAAAAAAAAATTAAATGTAACAGTTATACTTTGAATTTGAAATGGTGGACTGTTCAGAATAACCTATCTCTTTACTATTTTTAATGGACAATCCAAAGGTGTAGTTGGGAGAAACTTTAGATGAAGACTCAAAAATAATATTAGGTTGCTTGTGTCTTTTCAACCTTAAAAATGTTATCAGAAAGCCTCAGAAGATCCTTTTTAGTATACTTTAAGTGCACAATACCTTTGGATCAGCTCAAATGTGATAAAACTACACTATTTTTCTATAATTCTGCTTTCTATTGCTACAGAATTTTTTTCTATAATTCCCACAGGTCAGTTAAGGAACACTTTTGTTTGTTACATTTTTCACAATGGAATGAAACAATTTCTAAAGGATAGAGCCTGATAGATGTTTTAATTTTTGAGTTAATATACCTTGTAATGTGAGAATGCGCGTGTGTGCGTGGGCACCTCCAGCCTATTCCCATTGTTCTCTACTGCCATTCTAAACAACGTAAATAATGTTAGGTAGGTTTCATTATGGTGTGTATGGGTGTGTGCGTGCACGTGCGCACGCATGCGCATGTCACACGTGCTCGTGCGTGCACTCCTTTGATCCTCTTCAATATAGCCTGGGAGACTGAAGAACAACCAAAATTTTTTTTTCTTTTAAGTTAAGTTAAAGTATGTTGATTGCAGACTGTATTTAATGCCGTTTTATTTTACAAAGAATACAGAGAATCTTGATTTTTATTGAATTATTTTTGCAAACAATATAGTCAAAGAAGTATAGATTATACCAAATTGTGATCTTTCTGATTACTTACAATCAAGCTCTTTTTTTATCTAGTTAAAAAATTAGTTTAGTTTAAGAAGTGTCAAGTAGCTGATATATGAATTGCTTGAAGGTTGAAAATGTTATCCAAAGGTTAAAACAGTAGAACAGTATTAATGTTTCCTTGGGCTGGCATAATGAGTTGATGAGTTGACCTTTTATTGGCCTATGTAGAATAGAAGAAATAAATATAATAAATTTCACAGTATGACCTTAACACCGAAATAAAATATGAATATATACCATTGCCACCGTACTAGTTAAAGGCTTTTCTTTTCCATTTTTAGGCAAATTTTTATGACTGCAATGTTTCATTCATTTTGTTGGCATTTATTGAATGATTTCAAGAGAGTTCTTTCGCATGACTTCAAGAGAGTTCTTTCTCATGAATGGGGATAGACTTTATTACCAATAGAGTACAATAGAGTTATAGAACATAATATATTTAAATTAGTCTCCCAACAGCTTAAGAATGCAACAAAAACCAAACACTTTTAAATGTTTGTTTGGAGATTTTTTTAAGTAATATGTTTTATGCATTCAGCACTTATACAGGTGTTCAGGGGTCCAGTAGCCTTCTTCTCTTGTCACCAACCTGTTTTCTTTTGGTCTGTAATATACAATGACCTTTGTCTAGATTTTGCCCCGACTTTAGGATGAAACTGGAGTCCTTATAAGAATACCTGTATTAGCCAGGTTCCCGTGGCTCTCTCCTGTAATCCTAGCTACTCAGAAGGCTGGGATCTGAGAATTGCGGTTCAAAGCCAGCCCGAGCAGGAAAATCCATGAGACTCTTATTTCTAATAAACCACCAGAAAACCATAAGTGGCACTGTGGCTCAAGTGGTAGAGCGCTCACCTTAAGCTGAAGAGATGAGTGACAGTGCCCAGGCCCAGAGTTCAAGCCCCACAATGGACAAAAAAAAAGAATATCTGTATTAATGTACCATGTTTTCCAAAGAAACAAAGTATATAGGAGATTTTTTAAAATACAGAATAGCCTTAAGCTTGTCTTTATTATCTTCAGTGACTTTCCATTAACAGTTGACAAATTTGAGTTCAGCTAAGATTTCACTAGTTCCTGTACAACTGTCACATCAAAGTGAATGACGTCTGTGTGATTACATTTTTCATTATCAGTGGTGTGGAGCCGGTGTTTTTCAGCCATTTCTGTGTAGCTATCTCAGATATATCACAGCAAATCCAGAAGCAGTATCCAAATACAGTTATCTAATTGAGCAAGCTTTCCCAATTTAGTAGGCCCCAAATATTATAAAAATCCATTATATGAATAATTTTATGCTGATCATTTTGCTCTTGAAGTGCTCATGTAATAAAACATGCCATTGATCACGAACTGTCCTCCAGAATTAGCATGGCACTAACCTCACAGTTAATTATCGTAAGACTGAAGACAATATCAGGCAGTGTCAAAGAGCGCTATCAGCAGGGCATCTTGAAAGCTGTCACTTTGTCAAATGAAATATAAGAATACAGGATGTAGAGAGAGCTAAATCATAAATGCTATCATGTTTTAGAGATGACAGGATTTGCTTCTAGTGTGGTATCAGATACAAAGAAGACTAAACAAACCCAGCTATGTTCGTTGCCCAGATGTTAAGAATTCACTAAAGAAATAGCCTTAGGGATAGACATATCTCAGAAGTAGTACTCTTGCTTAGCATGTGTGAAGCCCTGAATTCCATCCTCACCATGGGGAAAAATAAAAAAATAAAATAGCCTTTAGCAATGAGACTGACAGAGTTGTGAGCTGATGAAAGCATGTATCATTAGGAGGAATGGAAGTTTGTAAACGTTGGAATCTAAGTAGAATACAGTTTTCTTCTTTGCTTGTTTCATTATTGTCAACTGTAAAATAAACTAGATTATCTATATATTTCCATACTTGATAAATTGACAGTTGAGGTTTCAGAAGTATTTGCCAAATCTATAAAATATCATTTTGTTATTTGTTTTATAATGATAATAAGACCTGACATTAGGGGCTGGCTATGTGATTTAGTGGTAGAGTGCTTAATCTGGCGTACATAAGGCCATGGGTTCAATTACTCGGTACCACATTAAAGAAAAAAACCAAACTGACATTAATTTTCAGTTATTAATTTTTGAGTAATATAGTTTCAATAATGCCCATTCTCTTGGCTACCTTCTGAATGTATCTTAATTTCTTACAACTTTAATCCTTATTTGTTAGATTTTTTTTCAACTGAAAAAAATAGAGTATTATTTAAAATTTACTTCCTTACCTAGGGTAGATATTCTACAGTATTTGATGCATAATCTTTTATAAACCTCAAGAGTCTAAAATAGGTGTTCAAAACATGCATCTATTTCCAGCCAGGTGCTAGTAGCTCACAACTACTCAGGAAGCTGAGAACCTGGAGGATCTCAACACAAAGCTAGCTTGAGCACAAAAATATGTAAGACTCAGCCTGGCCCGGTGGCTCACGCTTGTAATCCTAGCTACTCAGGAGGCTGAGATCTGAGTGAGTGGCCCAGTGTGTTTGCAGACAAGGAGGGTGGTACATTATGAAGAGCATCACCCACAGCACAACCATTCATCCCAGTTCTCTCAGGACAGCTCCAGTTGATGGCTAGTGTCCTGGAATCACATCCAGTTAAGTGCCTCTTTTCACTCTCTGAAGTGTGCTGTTGTTGAATTAACTGTATGAATCTTTTATTCACATAATGAACACAAAAGTGTCCATGTTCCTTCTTTCCTTTCTTTTTTTCTTTCATGGCAGTCCTGGGCTTGAACTTAGTGCTTAGGAGCTGTCACTGAGTTTTTCTGCTATCTCTAGAGCCACAGTTACACTTCCAGCATTTTGGTTGTTAATTGGAGATAAAAATCTTACAAACAAGCTGGGCACCGGTGGCTCACACCTGTAATCCTAGCTACTTAGGAGGCTGAGATCTGATGCTCGCAGTTCAAGGTCAGCATGGACAAGAAAGTCCGTGACATTCTTATCTCCAGTTAAACCACTAGAAAACCGGAAGTGGTGCTGTGGCTCAAGCGGTAGAGTGCTCACCTTGCCCTGAAGAGCTGAGGGATAGCACCCAAGCCCAGAGTTCAAGCCCCAGAACCAACCAAAAAAAAATATATATATAAATATATATATGCAAGACTCCAGCTTCAAAATAACAAGCAAAAAGCTGAGCTGGAAACATAACTCAAGTGCCAATTGAGTGAGTATGAAGCTTTTCAGTTCAGACCCTAGTACTGTCAAATGAAAATTACCCAAAATAACAAAAATTTCTCTTATAGAGCGTATCATGAAGAGACTTGTCTCTGAAACAAATAGAGGTAAGGTTTGGTAGAGTATGTAAATGCAGAATTAAGATTATGAAAACGAAGATCTTCATAGTGAAGTCATAAATTTTTAACATTTTCATTTTAGATTCTTTTAGGTCATCAAGTTTTGCTGTATTAACTAAATTACAAATATTATATGAACAGTGTTTAGTTTGCCTCTTTTTCACATAACCATGTGTAAATTATCTTATTTCCTAGACTCTCTTGAGCCTGAGGCATCCATTACTGTTTCAATGGGTATAGACTTTTGTGATTCTACACAGACTGCCAGTTTCCAGTTGTGGTAAGTTCAGTTGCTGTTCTGTTTTATATTACCTTTAAGGTTAGCAGATCAAAAACTAGGCTTTCAACAGCTCTTTTCTGTGAGAGATAAAACATTTAAATATCTAAAATGTGGTTTTCTTTGACAATGTTTGAACTGCTGTGTATAAATTGTATACAGTATGTGTAGTTTCAGTGTTTCTAACACAGTCATTATGATCTGCCAAATGTCATTGAAATTCTTGATGTGTTGGATAAAAAACAAAGCTACTAATAAATTAAGTTTTTTTGTTTGTTTTAACATTTATTTTACTTTTATTGTCAAGGCGATATACAGAGAGGTTACAGTTACATAAGATATTGATTACATTTCTTGTCTAACTTGTTACCCCCCTCCTCATTTTTCTCCCTCTTTTCCTTCTTCACACCCAATCTCCCATGGTTTTTGGTTATTACTTTTTTTTTACATATTTAAACACTATAGTTTTGGAAAATTCAGGACAAATTAGAAACTTTTACAATATTATTGAATAGCCCAGAAAACGTCTCTTTTTAGACAGTATGTCATTATGAAATAGGTTGAGTTTCTTGGGTAGTAGAGTATTATTGTTTCTAAATGCATATACATTTCCCCTTTTTACTTTAATTTACAAACTGCCTAAGAGAGATTATGTGATTTTAATTTTAAAATCCCACTTTTGGGCATTTACCCAAATGTTTACAAACAAGACCACACTAAAGCTACCAGCACAACTATGTTTATTGCAGCATTATTTACCATAGCTAAGATATGGAACCAACCCAGATGCCCCTCAGTAGATGAATGGATCAAGAAAATGTGGTATATATACACAATGGAATTCTATGCCTCCATCAGAAAGAACGACATTGCCCCATTTCTTAGGAAATGGAAAGGCTTGGAAAAAATTATATTAAGTGAAGTAAGCCAAGCCCAAAGAAACATAAGTCTCATGGTTTCCCTTATTTGCAATATCTAGTATATGTCTGAGTCAAGCAGAAAAGGTCAGATAAGTTGATGTTAGGGAAATGAACCCTAAGATATGTATGTAAATGATTTTTCTTTCATGCATTTGTTTCTAACGCACTTACAAGATTATTTATTTGTTGCTTTGTATGTCCCTCCCCCACAGTATAACCCCTGCTTTCACTGTATTTGATGTCAGTATAATTTGTGGAGGGGAAGGGGAAAAACAAGTCGTTTAAATAAGGGTACAAGTGGGCCCGTTGCAACAATGAGAAGTACAAGTCACTTCGAAAACAAACTTTACAACTTTGGGGGGGGCAGGGGGGAGGCTGGGAAGGGATGGGAAAGGTAAACAAAGGAGGAGGCTACAATGCTTGATAAGAAATGTACTCATTATCTTGCCCATGTAATTGTAATCCCTCTGTACAGTATTTTCACAATAAAAAAATTTCATGCAGTTTAAAAAAAATGTATTGTCATTGCTATTTTTATATGTTTTATGAAAACCTTCTACTGATGAAATCTAAAGGCCACTTGCAAATTAGTATAGAGGTATTTATGCATTTGAAAATTATCTTTAAATTCCCTTTATTTATATTTTTCTAATATAGAATATAGATTGTTATTTTGAATCGAATTTGCTTTGTTTTTATTCTAAAACAAATTGAAATGTTTTACTTACCTGAATTTTTTTTTAAATTTTTTATTGTGAAAATACCATACAGAGGGGTTACAATTACATGGGCAAAGTAATGAGTGCATTTCTTTTCTTTTCTTTTTTTTTCTTTTTTTTTTTTTTTATTTTGAACATACTGTACAGAGGGGTTACAATTACATGGGCAAGATAATGAGTACATTTCTTATCAAGCATTGTAGCCTCCTCC